TCCGAAGCAGCGTCCGACTGTCTAAATAGGTCTCGGAGAACGCAAAATTCGAATACCAATTGGCAGTACGTCTGCTCAAGTGCATGAGCAACTTCTGGACGAATTCCCAAAACTGAGTGAAGGTGGTGGTTATGAGATTTGCCGCGCATTTCACGGAAGCAGACGAATGGTACCTATAAGTTGCCCATCCGAGGGGTATTCTCAACCATTCTTAAAAGCGGAGGCTGGACAGGCCAAATTGTACATCAGACCGCTACAAAATAATCTTGAAACAACACCAGCCATCACTATTACCACTCCATCCGAAATGGCAAGCACAATTTCAGTGAGTACACAAATGTATATTGTACGTTTCTCATCTCTGTGCTGTCCTAAATATTTGCAGGAATGTAATTTAAAGAGCGGTGGCCGTTGCGCCGCGTCCCTTCGATTTGCGCCCGTGTGACGTATACAACGCGTGTAAAATACATTGTTTATAGTGACGACCACCGCTCTTTAAATTTTAATCGTATTTATTTATTCACGATAATAAAAATAATAATAATAATAATAACTTTATTGCCTCCGTGTAAATACGTAGGATAAGTACAGCAAAAAAGAGTTGATATCATTTATTATCATTTTCTTTTCATGCTCTGATAATTATTTCATTATATATTATGTGTTGGTGGGGCTGACGTCAACCCTGATAATGTGTTTTACCAGTTATATGAGTATATATGTTTGTAATGGTACATGTTATTGCTTATATTTTATAGGCTATAAATAATGCTCCCAAAGAAATCTGTGGTCAGTGCCATGTTGAAATTCCGTTTTCCCTGCTGAAAGAACATATCGAAACATGTAAAGGCCTTGATATAGATGATGAGGAAAGTGATGGGTAGGTGTTTATTTGGTACATGAAAATGATGGTGTACATGTAAATCTTGAGGTGTCAAATAAATAGTGTCTTTGTGAAATAATGACTTTGTTCAGACCCAAATAAGCTTATGTGCATTATAATAGCCTGGGTACTCTGTTTCTGTGCTGTCTTCACTACTGTCTGGAATTGCTGCTTACAATGTATATTTTGCTTCCATGGTGAGTCTGGCACATGGGGTAGGGGTAATCCTCTTGTGGTGTTTAATAACAGATAGGATTTGAAATCTTGAATGTTTATAGAAAATTAATAGTTGGATTAATTAAAATACTTGGATTTCAGGGGTGTAATTGAGAGTCCTGCAAGAAGTACATCTACAATGAGGCAGACATCAAATACACACAGATGGTTAGTTTACTGCTTTTTTTGTTTTACATACTTTTTGAATTACATTTGTATAATGTAGTCAGCTGCAAATCCCTGGAAGTTTATTTAATAATTCTGTACCTATTCATTTATATTTTTTTTTCTTCTTCTAGTAATCATTCAAATGATCAGAGCCAAACCATTTCTGCAAGAAATTGCAACACTACCACTAGTTCCTCCACTTCATTATCAATGGCTTTTAACAGGTCAGTATTAAAACTGTATTGGGCCACTGGAATGCATTTATCGTCATTTCAGATTTCTGAGCTAATATTTGGGGGGGGGGGGGCAAATATACAGTGGAATGGACATTGTTAGTTTCTGTCCTCCGTCTATCTGTCTGTCTGTGCAAGACTTCTTCTCAAAAACCGCCAAACCATTTGACTCGATTTTTGGTGTGTGGATGCCTTGATGAGTGTAGATATTAATTTGTTCATGAGAAGTCAATCTGCCACAAAGTATGCAAATTAGCCCCCCAAAACTCAACTGTGGCGGTCTATAGTGAGAGCGCCATCTATAGTATGGTGTTGGAATAACTTTTCAAGACGAAAACCGCGGAAAACTATAGCGAAATCCCTGTGTTTGCCGCCATCTTGAATAAGTCATCGTGACGCCACAAGGCGTCATAGTTTTCCCATTTCACGCGGTTTTCGTCGTGAAATCAACCAATTTCGGACCATCGCCTTCAAAATTATTGATGAAATAGTTTCGGGACCCATTGACAGTAGAAAAGTAGAAACTTAAGATGAAAATAATGAAAAAAAAAACGGCTGTTACGATCCAACCTGATTTCAGTTCAGACTATTTTAAAATAGTCATTTTTGGTCAAAAATTCTATTTTCGACTCCTTCTTCAAAACCGGTAGCCTGAATGCTTTGATACTTGGCGCGTATGTAACTTGTGTTGACATCTACTAGATTTGTTCATCCCATGGCCATATCTTTAATTCTATAATTTTGGCGAATATTTTTGTAATTTTTGGTTAAAAATGGAATTTCAACTAACCACTATTTCCAATGCTTTGGTGTTAGGCATACATGTGTTTATTATTCCATTGACAACTTTTTGTGGTTGTTTGGCGATATTTCATTTAAAAGTACAAATTTAAACAAAAAGTTGTGGCATATACAGCACTAATCTTTTGTACAATAGCCGTTGAGCAACAGGCCATTGGCCTATTTTTGTAAACTAAATCATCAGATTTCTTTCTCTGATTTGTTGTGGTGGTACCTTAATTTTTTCTGAGCACAGTCCGAGGATTTTTGGATTAGGTTACATACGTGGTGGTTCATCTATCATATTTTTTATTGGTCAATATTTAGTCCTATCTGCCTGTCTCAAACAGGTTGATTTTGACTGCTTCAGATAAATATTGAAATTACTCTCTTGTGGACTGGTAAAGTTTTTAATTACTGGACATTATGAGTCCAAAATTGGCCGGCTCACAGTTATTGCACTCCTGTATAGCGCTTTCATATACATCTTACATGACACCTATTAGCCCTAGTGATTGTTGTACAGATGCTAGCCTATACTATATATACTATATTAGCCCATACTAATGTGAACACAACTAGTATGTTAGAAATGATTATTTTTGATGATATGTGCGTATAATTTTTCAAACTGGGTACAAAGGCAGACTACTCATTCTCAGTTTGATTTGTGTTATGATCCTGTCCAAGACTTTGTTACAGCTTGCCACATGAACATTTAGATTTAATTCTCTGTGTAAAACTTGCACATGGACCTGTACAAAATAGAGCATTGCATGGCCGCACCATTTATTTTTCACATAAGTAAGAAAGGGAAAGGTCATGTGCAATTAACAATGTTGTTATAGAGTATCAGTCCATTAATATTACCAACACTCTATTGTGAGTACCTGTACTTATATGCCCCTTTTCTTTGTGTCTTCCTATCAACTTTTCACATCACTATAACAACAACAAAGAAAATGTTATTTCCTGGGACTTCATTACAATTATGAAAGATATAAAAATTATAGCTTGTTTCCAGGAGAGTCAAAGTTTATTTATATTCATTAAAGTAGTTAATTAATTTTCTGACCTGAGACCAACTTCATTATTCAAGCAAATGTTGCTAATAGCACAATAATAATATTGTCATATTGTACAGTGTAGATTTGATTTTATTATTCATAGGAGTTACTCACAGATATTTGATAGTGCAGGGTGTATTGAATCTCAAGAAGATAATGTTGCAGAAGAAGAAAACACAGTGGCTAACAACACTACATTGTACCCAAGGTAGGCAGAGATTTGGTTGAGCCATTTATCTACTAATATTAATTCAGATAGTTTTGAGGTTTATTAGCTCCATTGTCATCGAAGATGACAGTGCGCAGGTGTACGTCATATAAGTCATTATCTGTTGTTATCCATCAACAATTTGAGGCTTTTGACTAAAATTTTCTGGTAGTCCAATTTCTAGATATGTAGATACCTTGTGTAAATCACTGTCAGATTTGTTTATTTCATGGCCAAAAATGTTATTTTCAACTTTATCGTGGAAAGTGCTCACATGAATGCTTCAAGATTTTATATGTAGACAGTTTGGATGGTATGTTCAATTTTCAGTTTTTGGCAATTATTTATGTCATATTTAGTCAACACTGATGTTTTCAACTTATTTTTGAAAACCACTATACTGATCAACGATGATTCATACAATGTGTCTATTAGAATATGCAAATGACTAAAAATGACAAAACTCCAAGTTCATTACTCATTCACAAATCATACCAGTAACATCATTTTATGATCCATTTTATTAAAAACAAAATTAGCAAAAACAGATCAGACTGAATCACTATATATTGCTTTGACTTTATTTATGTTTATATTCTTATAGATGTACTCTGGAATATGCTGTCACATTACTAAGTCACCATGTGGTGGATCGAATACATATGGACTACAATAAAAACAATGGTGATGATTATGATGATCAGGACTATCAACGTGTGAATATTTTAAGGTCAACGTTCTGGAAAACTGCTGTTAGAGCCATAAATCGACCAGATTTCCTCCCAAACAAATTAATTAAAGTGTCATTCATTGGAGAAAGTGCAGTGGACGATGGGGGGCCCAGAAGGGAATTTTGTAGTTTATTAATAAATTCTGTAAAAACCTGTGGCGTGCTTGAAGGCAAGGAAAACAATCTGAGCTTTTCTCATGATTTGCGCTTTCTTGCTGAAAGAAGATATTTCACTGCAGGAAAGATGGTTGCTATATCTCTTTGCCATGGTGGTCCCGGATTACACTGTTTGAGCCAAGCAACATTCCAATATATGGCAAGAGGGTGTGTAGAACAACCGATAGCCATTGATGAAATTCCAGATTATGACATACAGCTGATAGCCAAACAGGTGAGATTTATAGTCTTATTCGTAAAACACACATGTGCAGTCTTTGCAAGTTACCCTTCTTGTATGCCTGTCTGTTGGTCTGTCCTCCAGTCCACCCCAGTCTGTAAAAGAACCACATTTGGGATTCATATGCATGTATATACTTTTCATGATCCAATTCAAGATAGAGGTAAGACAGCCATTTTAATGCTAAAAATGTGTCAAACAAAACTAGCTATTTTCACTTTTCATACCCACTGTGTGTATTGACCTATTTCATGCCAACAAGTACTCTATACATCTCGCAATGGAAATATATACATGGAACTAAACTAATATAAATTAATAGTATCTTTCCCTAAGAGACTAGCGAGCTTCTAGTTAGTGTGAATAGTCTTTTACTATAGATGATGGGGAGGGAGGGCCTTGCTTCACTTGTGCATGTCTGAGAATTGCAGTGCAACTACAATGGTCATGATAATTTGATAATTCTCGGGGAATGTCCTTCATGACTTATTATATAACCTTGTATTTTATCCTATGCAGATCCAGTCTAGTGAGACTAATGAGGAACTCAGAATAGCTGTATCGCGTATTGGAGAAGAAAGTGTCGCTAATATCACAGGATTTACAGATCCGATGAGTACAATTACATTGGATATGAAGGCTCCCATTCTTGAAAATCTCACTACACATCACTGTGTTTATAAATCCATACCTGAGATAAACCAATTTTTAGATGGAATGAATGTTCTGCACATAGCAGACTTGGTAAAGGCCGAACCAGGTAAGTTTACAGTTGCTCTTAAAATTTTCAACATCGGTGATGAGGGTGCTCAAACTTGTTTGGTAATCGATGGTGTCTATCACTGGACACACTGTATGGATGGGAATGAAAATGAAAAGTTGCGAATAATTTACCTCAAACTTGTATATTAATGAGGTGATATGCATAAATATTTAACATCCTACTTTTTTATGGCTTCTGTAGCTGTGTGATAAAAGTTAATTCTACAACTAATTTCAACTTGCAAAGTTCAAATGCAGATTGCTCAAGTTAATTTAAATGTGTAATATGCATACAAATCATAGGTAACTGCTTAATGTATTAAGAAACCCAGCTGTGCAAAGATTGTTTTATTGGTTCAATGTTTAGGTCAAACTTTAAGATTTACCTTGCATATCTCTCTCTAGTCTACACATATACATTTTAAGTTTGGTTTTGCCTTGTCCAAAATAAATATTGAGGGACAAAGTATTAGAGACAATACTGTCATCGTCATAAACCTTTTTTCTGGTCGCAATAACTTGATTAGTTTTGATTTGATTACTTTTAAGCTTTCCGATATTATTCACATCCATGAAATCTTGGATAGGAGTTTTCAAGATATTGATGAAAATACGTCTTATAAAATTCCTATACGTTAACATGGGTATGGCAACAGTTCTTACTGGCAGATGAGCACTATTGCAGATAGACATGACCAATTAAATTATTGACCATACATGTATATGGTTATGTAATCTAATTAAAAATGCATAACTATCATATCTAGAGCACTATTGCAGATAGAGACATTCAACCGGTGCTTTATTGTAAACATTTCACAAGAGACTGAAAAGATGCATCCTTTGACCTAGCATTTATCCATATGCAATTCTGAATTGCACTGCTATGAGCCCCCTTGTAATACCTTGTAAACCATAGCTGATCTTACACTCTGCTTTAACCAAGGCATTTACCAGCGCTGCTCTTGTTAAACAGTACATTCACATTTAAGCCTATTTACTGTATTTTGTTTTTTAATCACAAATTATGTGCCACCAATCCAAATTGGTAATCTCCTCCCCAGTTTTAATGATTTTATAAATGTGAGGGAAGCTTACACATAGTGTATCAAAAGAAAGTGTTAATTCCAAAGAAGTTATAACATGAAACTCTGAGAAGCTTGAACAAGGGCAATGCCCTCATGGTTTTTACTATGTTTTATTATTTTAAATTAGGATCTATGGAGCACTTCATGTGCTTGAGTAAAAAGCTACTCCCATCAGCTGACTACTTAAAATCAATCCATGTGGAATATAGTCCAAGTGGCTCAAATAAAAGGATAGAAGAAGAAACTACCATCTACTATTGGTTTGAATTTATTGATGAATGTGCTAAAGGTTAGACAACTACAAAATGTTGTAATCTACATGTATTGTAAATGTTTAAGCTTTTTTTCTATGTCACTGTTTCTGTGGATAAGGTGAATTACGGGGGGAGGGGGGGGGAGTTCCATGACACAATTGGTCAAAATAAATGTCTCATTTGCATAATTCATAATTAATGGGCAATGGAAAACTCGTTTTTTTTCAGTAAATTTGTGCCAAAATACTTTCCGAAAGCATACATGATAGTTCTAAATTGACTGATTCTATGTTTACGAGCTGAAAAAATAATCAAAAAACTGATGTAAAGGTGTTTTTTTAGACACAATTTTTACCAGACTCCAGCAAACTGTTGAAAGTAACCACAGGTTTTTTCTATACGCTGATCATAGCAACCTATGAAATTCATGGAGAATGCAGAGGAATGTTTATATTTCACTCAAGTACTATTGTACAAATTTGCTCAAAATATTTTCAGTGACTTGTGTCTCTGACAAGTAACCTAATTAGTATGCATTTCGAGAAACCACAGTGTGTGTGCATGTGCAGTTTGAAATGGAACAATTTTGAATGCAATAAAATCATGTGTAGAACTTGGGCTGAAATATCAGGTCGCATTTTTTTTATATATATTAAAAACTCAACATTTTGAGCAGTAAAAAGTGTCCAGACTGTTGTTTGAACCCCAGGGTCCCTGGGGGGATAAGGGCGACTTTGAATCTCGGGTTGATCTGTATTTCTCTTACATGTTTCGAATACTATGAAGTCTGAAGAGCAAACATGTCTCTTGCATTGATTCCCATATACCTCGGCTATTTACGATACCCTTAGTTTTCACGAGTTTAAAAAAAAAAATCTGACCGACTGACCCAATTTTTCAATTTTCCGAATTAAGGGCAACATAAGTTGTTGTTTTTTGGCCTTATGCTGTAAAGAAATCGCTGAAATGGTTTCATATGTTCGTAAAAGGTAGTAGCTTAGACGATGAGCTACGAACGACTGACTTTGAACTTTTCATTCAGGACGAATGGCACCCTCTCGTGTCAATCCCCCCTGGGATGTAATACTTGACACTTTAGTCTATACCTAGTTTGCCTATGAATTTTAAAAATCTAAATACCGGTACATTTGCCAATTTTCAACTGACTTCATTGAAATTTGTCCATGTAATTTCTCGAGAAAAGTTGTATATCAGATTTTCGTTATCAATTCCCACTGAGAATATAGTATTATTTATTATAATGCTAAATGATATCACAATTTGACAAGTGGAACCTCAATCTTACATTCATTTACATTTTGTCTTAACAGGTAATCAGAAGGCATGTTTGTTTGCTGGGAGTGATAATCAACCCATAGAAGTAGTCATAACACTTGGTGACATTTTCGCATTCTTCACTGGCACTCATTCAATTCCCCCTTTAGGTTTCACAGAAAGTCCATCCATAGAATTTATCACAAACTCTACTGTTCCAAGCTCAAATACATGTGCCAATATTCTGCGATTACCTAGAAATTTCAGTTGCATAGAAGATTTTTCGGAGAGATTTACGTTTGCTTTATCAAATTGTCGTGATTTTGGCAATGTCTAGAGACAACATACACAGGTGTAATAGCATTGAACTTACTATAAGTAAGTGATCTATGAGAGCTTGATTTGTAACTTGTCACTTTAATCTTCTAATATCTCAAAAAGTCTTGACAACATTTCCAAATAGATATTCTATACCACTACATGGACAACCTGGAAAATCACAAACTTAAAATAAAATATTATATTAATATTGTTGATACTCGTGCACTAACTGCAAAAAGGAACTGCATAGTATAACTTGTACTGCATAAATATAGTTATTTTTTTTGCACATGTATGGCCAACTTTACATGCATGTAGTAATCTGCAGCATGTAAAATGTAGTCCACCTGAGGTGAAACAATGCTGATATATCATGCACTTTCTCTGAATTTGTGGCTGTTATAGTAGGTAAGGTTCTGTCAACATAACTAAATATATTAATTGAAACTTGTATATTATACATGTGTATTTTTGAAAGCGTTTTGGGTTATCCATGTTAGCATCATTGATATGATATATGTTGTTTTTTTTCTGCAGTAGTTAAAATGTTTTATAGTAGGATTGAGTCCAATATAGATTAGTTGCAGTCTCAAACATTTCCTGTGTTATAATTATCAAGTATCATTTGTACATGTTTATGCTTTTATTAGTTTACTTGTTTTGACTGTTTACATTCGTCTATTCATTCTGTAACAGAATTTGCACAGAGCAAAATTGGTTAGTGTGCGTTGTATGCGTTGCTTGATTCATTGAACGCATGTCACTTGTTTGTTGCATTAAAGTGCTCATGTAATGTTAGTGCTCACTAGCTGCTTGTAGCAGTTTTGTGTCAATTGTGATTAAAACAGCATTTTGAACCCAAAATGGATTTCTGGTGTCTTTGTTGTTGGTAACAATATAATTTAATTTTAGTGATTGACCCCCATGTGCCAAGAACACAATGTGAGTCTTTGCAGTTAGTTTGTCTGTATGTGTGTCCGTCTGTTCCACTGCTATCTAAAGAACCACTCATTGGATTTTGATGAAACTTGGTACATAGATGCTCTGAACTTATGCGCATATTTGATTAGTTTCTGGTAAAAATCTGTGCATATTAATTACCTAAATTGCATAATTATCAGTCAATTTTCGTTTTTTCACTGATACCTCAAGTACTAATTATCACATTTCAATGAAACTTCTAACATAGGTATCATAGGACACTGCACGGACCTGATAGTTTTTAGGGTAATATAAGTACATATTAATTACCTAATTTGCATAATTAATTTTCAGCTTTGATATTTCCAGTAGTAAGCATTACATTTCAATGACATTTGGTACATAGATACTCAAGGACTATGCAGAGACCTTATTAGTTTTAGGGTTAATAATTGTGCATAATAATTACCTAATTTGCATAATTAATCGATTTTCAACTTTCACACTGATATCTCAAGTACTAATCACATTTTAATGAAACATAGTACAAAGATGCTCTAGGATAATGTACAAACCTGATTAATTTGGGGTTAAAATCTGTTCATATTAATTCCCTAATTAGCATAATAATTCATAATTTTTTGGTTCTAATCACATTTCAATAAAACTTGGTACATAGATGGTCTGTTATATTGCACAGACCTCATTAGTTTTACACTCAAATCTGTTCATATTAATTTTCTGATTTGCATAATTATTTTTTTTAGCAAATAATAAATAAGTAATTTCAAATTATTTTTAATGTGTCTCCACATGGGATTTTTTTCTAATATTTTTTTTTATTTAATTGTTCTTGATTTCTTCACAATCAGATATTGTTGATCTTGTAAATTGTAACAATTGTTCAAATACAGATTAGCTAGAGATTTTGACAGTTCATGAGGCTGTGCATTGCAAATACTGCACTGGACACCAAAGTTACATTGCGCAAGTCATGAACTTGTGTTAAACATGGTAGAATGAAATTAAACAATAGATAACACATTTGCAAAATGTGACTATTCATAAAGAATTTTATTCATTGATCTTGAAATAAATCAACCATAGTTCATACATGGTTACATGATATATACATACATATTAAGTACATGTATCAAAGCGATCGGACTAGTGATTTTCAAAAATATGTTTTGACCAAAATTGACATAAATACATAAAAATTATATTCACCAAAAATAGAGAATTGAAGATATCACTAAATAAACAAACCTTATAGTACACCACTCAAGGTATCTGAATCATGATGCACCAGTGTGAGTGGTTTTCAAGAAGAAGTCGAAAATATCTATTTTGACCAAAAAGGATAAAACTATTCACTAAAAATAAAGAATGAAACAATTCTGATCATCCCAAGGTACATGCATACCAAGTATCCAAGCATTCGAAATACCAGTTTTCAAGAATAAGAATGATAAAAATATTGATTAAAAATAGACAATTTAAGATATGATTCATCACAAAATGAATAAATCTGACAGATCCACCAAAGTTATCAAAGAAATTGGTATTCAAGAAGAAGTTGAAAGTTCCAATAGTTGACAAATGGCCGGACAATCACCTATCGTCATCAGCACAATCATATGAATCTTCAATGACAGCAGAGCTAAAATCTCTTCGCAGTTGCCAGTCCAAGAATTATGTATAGTTTATAATAAAATGTAATTAAAATCATAAAAAAAAACATACACCGTAGAACACACTCATATTTTTGTTTTGTTCCAGTAAGCTCAGAATTGCAATACTCAGAATCTACATAAATCAGTTTACTATTTACAAAATAAATAAATCTGCATTTACACAATAGAAGGTGTACATAAAATACGATATGAAATCGGTCATCAATAGGATTCAGGAGTTTTGATGTAATCATGATTCATTGCCGATTAACAAGCCAATACTTCAATGCACATTAACTAGTTATATAAGTCAGACGATAGCGCCAAACACCATTAGTCTGTTGTAGAAGGTAAACAAACAAATCTGAAGAATATTCATCTATCAAATCCACAATTTAGTTATGTAAAAATTTGAAATTATTCGTGGGCAGAAATCTCTGTTCTGATATTACTGTGATTGCAATAATGGCTGATTCACCGATTCAAAAACATTTACTAGCCCCGATTTGAATTGTGGAAAAGTTTTGAGTGACGCCAACCGCACGGTTTTTTTTCAGGTGCTATTAAAATAATACATATACAGGCTTCTAATGCGCTGCTTATCATCACTCAATTAGGCGATTTTGTGTAACATCCAAAATTGCTATCACAGTAACAGTTCTGATAAACAGATTCAGTGTTATGAGAAATCCGGTGTGGTCAGATTTGATTATCTTGTGATGTGCTCTGTACTGGTTACAAATGACTTACTAATAATATTCATTCTCTCCTGTCGAGCACTGTATTTACAAAGGCAATGACGTTTTGATACACTGATATACCATATGCATTATCGTCTCTTAAGGGGTCAATGGAACTATAAAGATCTTCCAATTCATTGTCTTGTAGGGGACAATGAATTTGTGGAATTTCAACCGTTGCATCTGTTGTATCTTCAGGAAGAGGTCCGTCCCAGTCAATTCCATACTCATCGAGTTCAACCTTTTAAGCGGAAGAACAATTAGTGTAAGATACTCAGAAGACACATACGTATTTAATATGTTCTTCTATATTGCACAGTAGATTAGGTATATTTATTTTGTTACTAATACAAGGTTGGGTCATATATTTGACATTTAGATCATTATCGCATACTGCCCAAATACTATTCTCAATATTTACAGGGTGCATCCACTGTAAGCAAATTAAAGAAATATGCATGGCAAACTATTAATGTATAATTTTTTTGTGAAAATATAATTGGCAAAGATGATGTAATACAAACCTCAGTTCGTGGTTCAAATAGTTCTCTTATTGGGATATAACTTGAGTCGGCCATCTGCATAGAACCTTGAATCCATAGCTGTCTTGGTGATCTGCTATTAGCTGAGCTAAGTTTGTGGTGGTTCCACCCTTCTGGCCAGTGATTAAGATCTTGATTTATTCTTTGCAAGTATGTAAAATGTAGACAAAAGTTATCAACATCATTGTCTATATCGAGTAGTAATTTCTCTTCCAGGTAGTAAAATAGATGGTAATATTTAAATAAAACACCACAAAAAACATCCCGCCATAAACGTTCAATCCTCTGATTGTGTACACTCCTGCCAGATATAAAACTACCCCTTCCTGTTCCTCTGTCCGGATGACTAAGCATAAATAAAGAAACATCTACGTTTTCACCACCCTTGTCACCTCTAACTCGAGAGGGAACTCCAAGCCGTTCAGTTGCATCTTCAAAGCTTTCAAGGACTGTAGTCGATCTGTTGTTGTCACTACATAACAAATAGACCACCAATCGCGAAAAACCATCAACTCCGCCATGTACTACAAACTTCCATCTATGGACAATATAGAAGAAACAACTTGTTAAGAAACGTTGGTGTATCTGAGAACAGAGACCCTAAAGGGCCAAGGTATGCGTGTTATAACGATGTGTTTAACGAGCAATGATTAAACGAAATTCAAAAATTAAATGCGGTCAAATAACAAAATGTTATTAAATATGCTTGGCTTCAATAGTGCATAACATTTTTACGAATAATTTGAACATTCCATTACTACTTGTCACATATTTGTATGGATATAGACAATGCCACGTTTTTTTACAAACACCAGCAACACAGTACAAACCTTATAAGTTTGTGATTTCCATCAATGTGCCACAATGCGTTCGGGCATGGGACGTTGTATTGTCGTCTACGTATTGCAGTTCTTCTTCTACTAACAACTCCATTCGGGTCAACACGTCTGAGACTTTCTCGGACACGAAAAATTGTCACACGTTTGCCTTCGGCACGTAACAACCCATGTAACCTTTTCATGCCCGTATTTGGAAGACGAGTAATTATGTCAGTTACAATTCCATCAAGTTCTCGATCAGACAACTCTGCATATGATTCAGCAATTGAAATGCCGTACACAACCATACGTCTTTGTA